TATCGTTCCGGATATAGTTCGTGATACGGTGTCTGTTCTTTTCGGCCTAGTTTCGCACCTAAAAAGGGTTTAAAGGGTTTCTAAGGGCTGGCTTTTAAGGGGTCTGCTAGGAATGCTCTTATCTCTGAGGCGAAAAAGTTGATCTGAAACCAGTCTTGATTCAGAAGGGACTCAGAGAGACTTCAGGCCCTTCTTATCCAGCCGCATGCAGCTAGCACTAAGTTTTTTTTCATTAACATAACACTAACTGGCTTCAATTGAATTCAAAACGAAGTTGTAGCAAGGATAATACAAAGTGAAACACATCTGAATTCATAACTAGAACATTCAACAAAAAGTTTAATTTCATAATTTTATAAGGGCCGCACAGACGCGTACCCCTTCTAACACATATTATGACGCCCACTCTCCCACGAAGAAGAGATGGTAGATCAACGCGCTCACTATGTGCAATGTGAACCATTGATGTAAGCCATGAGCCTTATTTTTGTTGAATCAAAAACCCAACAAACTTTATTCAATAGATATAATAGATACATCGGCAATGATTAGGATTACAATTTCATTAGGTTCCTCAAACCAATCAAAAGTGGATGAAAATCTAGCCACCCTAGTCAGTGAGCTACCTTATTTGCTTTTCTATTACAATGTTTGAACCTACAAATAGTAAAATCGCACGCCAAATGATAACATCCGTCAAAAACCGATGCCGCCGCTCCCGTAGAACATCTTCTGCTCTTCATAGTTTCGATAACCTTCATACTGTCAGAATTAATGACAAGATGATTGCATCCCATCCTTTGCGCAAGAGACAACCCGAATCTAAGATTCTATATTCCCATTCTCCCTGCCCCCTGCAATGAATTTACCTTTATCATTCGTGAGGACCGCCCCAACAGTGCCCCTAAGCTGATCATAATCAAAAGATGCATCAACATTAAGTTTTACAAATCTCACAGGGAACGGCTCCAGAACTCTCTTTTTTATTGCCGCTCTAGGAGAGGAGGCAGGCCATGAGCCTTATTGATCGACAATAGACCCCGTCCAGACTAACGCTACCACACTCGCTGTACCAATCACCAGGCACACTTTTAAAAACAGAAATACAAGCCTTGGACTACAGCTCTGACTAACCAGATATTTTTACAGTCTAAACAGCCCTCAAAGCAACACAATAATTTAGCCAAAGGAGGACTTCAGCTCTTGCTCATGTACTCAGATGTCGTATTGGCTCGACACAAAAAGCAGATAATACAGTTTAAGCTGAAAAGACTTTTTGCATGTTTCAGATCGATCAAACATACTGGAATACATCAATCTGGATGTCAAACTTATATATTGCATCGATAGTGTAAACTGTAACCACACAATCGAAATAGTTTTTCGCCAACATGTACATTTATCTCACACATGCATGCAACAGAAAACTGACTGTGGGTAGCCTACAAGTGATGTGAGGAGCTGAGCAATTACATCCAGTAACAAATGACCAGAGTGTGTTTTTTTAACTTATTTCTACAATTTTATTGCCACACAAATCATGGTGTGATCCTGCTTGGGGCAATCTGCTTTCGGCCAATGATACTCAATATGACATCTCGTCGCCTCGAGAGAAAAATGAACATGGCTGGAAGTTCCAGTGCCTCAACACGAACATAATTTGGGACCAGAGCCTGACCATGTCAATCTTTTCTTCTGCTTGTTAGCTTTTTTTTGAATAAAAGAAGGGCTTCACCCCTTCCGATTTTCATTAATGAAAACCCAAGCATCCATCCCTAGACACAGTACAAACTTCTGCTTGTCAGTAGAAGCATTATTTCTTCAGAGTCGAACTTCATATGCAGTATTAATTCCATAAAATGCTTAGCAGCTAAGTGAGACACAATTCCAAACAATACAACAGAAAAAAAGGAATTGCAACAGAAACCACTGGATGACCTTTAAGAAAGACTTGCAATTTAGCATCAAGACTCACAGTAGCCACTTCAGCCCAGAAGAATATTCAAAGAAATATAAACATAACCATGAAACAGTCAAGCTTGTTGATCATAACTTGTCTATGCATCAAAATGAAACTAGCTGGCTCATAGTGGACCGAATTCATACACACTGCAGCTCATGAGGATACTGAAAGTTGGGCTAGAATCACCACTTGATATAACATCCGTCAGATGAAAGGTGCAGAGTTGGCAACATAACCCTCGAGTGTTGGAAAGAAGGTATGTTGAACAAGAGTTTGCTTGAGCCAAAGATTTGCAGGACCGAGGCCTCTGCGATGGGAAGTAGCGACCAACTTGCCCTCAATGTCAACCTGAAGTAGCCACTCACCAAAATTGATCAGTAGGAGCACGTCACCATCCCAAGGCACAGCCACCACCCAAGAACTTTCGTCCAACTTGCCAAACTGCAGAGTGAGGTCTGCAAATGAGAAGTCTACCCGGTATTTGCAGGCCCAGACCTCCCTCTCATAGTCCTGCGCCACCCAGATATCAATGGCTGTCGCTGCATCATTAAAGCCGGGCATGCCAAGCATTCCATCCATCTGAAACAACTTAGCATGGCCAGGAACAACCGGAGCACGCATCTGCCAGAACAACTCAGTAGTGGTGTCGAACACCGTTATCGTGCTGCCTGGTGGGTGCCAATGCAGGCAGCCACGAAACAGGAGAGATCCAAAGGTGTATGTCAGCACCTGCGCATCGGGGAACCCTATGTACCTCGGTGGCTGGCCCGAGCCTAACGTGAAGATGTAGGAGCCGTCTTCAGGGGGGTCAGGTACCAGTTCATGAGGCATCAATACTGAGTCCCGGTACATCAACAGTCGGTAGTCGCCGGTGGGGATGTGCCGGTACATCCCGAGGAGCGAGTACTCGATGTTACAGCCATAAGGCAACGGGAGGGGCGCGTACTGACGAGTAGCGGGGTTGCAGACGGCGAAGCGCCAGTCACGGACGCTGGTGTGGCGGAAGGAGAGGACCAGGAGGCCGTCGCAGCAGGCCTCCAGATGGTGGAAGTCGGAGTCTTGCTCAAGCCGCGCGACGGGGTGGAGCTGGAGCTGGGGCTGGTCGGCGCCTGCCCGCTGGTGGAAGGGGATGATGTCGAGGGACTCGACCTCGTCGCCGACGAAGTTGTAGCCGTAGAGGAGGGGGAGGGCGGGCTGGAGGGCGTGGTGGGCGAGGAGGAATTGGCGGGTGGAGGTGGCGCTGCGCCATGCGCGGCAGACGGCGCGGCAGCGGAGGAGCGATTTGGGGGGCAGACGGACGAGGATCTCCCAGATGGTGATCTCGTCTGGGAGGCTGCCGCCGGGAGGCGGCGCCGTTGCTCCTCTCGCGGCGTCCGCCATGGTCGCCGGCGGCAAGCAAGAGAGGTGAGTGGTGGACTGCTTGTGGCAGTGCGTGACGGCGGCGTTTAGGGGGGAAGGGGAGGGGAGGTAGGTTTTGCCCTCTCGTCTCGTGGATTGAACTGGGCCTAAACGGTCTGGGCCAAACCTGGGCCTGGGCTGAAGCCTTCAACAGGCCCAGACACTCGGCCGTTGCTGATGCGCCAGGAGCCAGCCCAGTACGCCCAGCGCAGCGCCAGCCCTTCAGCTCTGAACCCTACTTGTCTCAAAAAAAAAAAAAGCTCTGAACCCTACCGCGAATGTTATTCATTCGAATCGTAGAAATTGAAGGATATGCATTGATTCAGTCTTGTACTGTTAGATTAGGTCGGTGAGATGTTAAGTGTATGCACTGATTCAATGTTGTACTGTTAGATTAGTCTGCAGCTGCTACAAGTGCAGAGATGCAGGATCCAGTACACGTCTGGTTCTGTAACTACTACAAGCAGAGCAATATGTATCCCTGTTCTGAACTTCAATGAATTCGAGTCGCCATGTGTGGTTTTGCCAGTGTGTGGTTTCCTTGAAAATATGCGTGGGGGTTTTCTCCCCGCGCCCATCTGCTTCTCGCGATGCGGCGGCCCGCGCATTGGAGACAGGAGCATCGCCATGGTTTGCTGCAGAATATGAAACCAACCAATTAGCAGTACAGAATCTGAAACCTCGTGTTCAACTCAATCCAGAAAATGTTGTCTTGTACTATTACTTGTAATTCTGGTCATGATTATATATTTTGTTGGATCGTTAAATCTCGATTTCTAATTCTACGATAGCTGTGCAATTGAGCTATTGGGATAATTTTCTGGTTTGTTATAAGCGTTATACTTTTAGCCCGGCCTGCTTGAATCCTGGCTCCGCCAATAATTTACATAGCTTTTTGCTTAAATTTTCATCACGTGTGATAAAAATGTGAAGCCCTAGTTAGATCTCTTCTCTGAACTTCATTGCCTCATGTCATTGGTTGTATGCAGGCTCATCATGGACTCCCTTCATCTTGTGCACATCAAACTTCTGGCTACCGGCCTTCTCATGCTAACTCCCCGACATACATCGCCGCCTTCCTTTGTTCGCTGTGGCCGTACGGTTGCTCGTGCCGAAGTTGTCGGGGTTGTTGTTTCACGTGACCACAGGGAGAAGTTTCTGCGCTTCCTGGTTGATGATGGCACTGGCTGTGTGCCATGTGTCCTGTGGCTGAACCACCAGTACCTGAATGCAAACAGTTCATCAGATTCTGATCCAACTGGAGAGATGGCATCGAAAATGTCGGAGGTGGTACGCCTGGGCACCCTGTTGAGGGTTCGTGGGAGGATTGTCATGTACCGTGGTGCAATTCAGATTGCTCCTAGAGACGTGGTTCTTGAGGAGGACCCTAATGTGGAGGTTCTACATTGGTTACAGTGCGTTCACATGGCCAAGGAATGTTATGGTTTGCCACTGCCTTCTGCTTGAGCTGTGCCTCGGAGGATCTCATGCTCTGTAACGATACAAAATTGTATGGTGTTTATTTATGTGGTTACTATTGAACCAACTTCTTCTAATGCGATCCAGCGTGTGTACGGCAAACATTGTTAATTAAATGCCTTTTTTGATCGACTGCATTTGATTTACTTCATTTAAGCATTAGGGTCAGTTTGCAACTGCCTTATAAGGTCCAATGCACAGGCTCCTAGTGATAGCACACTGCACTAGGGTGAAGTCATGTGTGGATCCCTGACACTGAATGGTACTGCAGCTACTCACTCATTTTAGTTTTTGTTTGATGATGTAAATGCTTGATTAACAAATATGGGTCGTCCATCTTGCAGGTATACCTGGTTTCATGAATTTAAATTCTTGTTTCAGAGGTCAATATATCCGGCAACAATGGTAAGTTTCCAGCTGCACATGAAAGGATATCAGCAGTGACATTATCCCCTGCCAAGGGACTTACCAGTGCCAAAGCCAATGTATAGGTGCAACTTCTTACTGCAATATTAATGCACATGGATAGAAATAGGAAGAAAGATACGTATAATATTATTGAGTGCAGACAAAGCTCGTTTAATGCCTTGTTCTCTACAGGGTTTTCTTTGCCAAGTAAAGATGTATCTTATGACTTAGATGTGCAAGAGTCAAGACTCAATAGTGAGAGAGTCCACATGTAACAGGCATCATGGTTATCGAAGGTACAATACAACACCTTGAAACCCCAAGTTAGATTCAGATGAGCCGATTATGTTATGTATCTCTGGTGATTTTTTACATTTTAGTTCCTTTTGTGTTGTTGCCTCCAATAAGATATGAGGAACTATAACTTGAGCTGCTTTAGATGAATATTCAAGGCCACTCACTGATAATTCGTTGTTGAAGTCAAAACCTGGACATTTCCTCCTATCATTTCATTCACAAATATCTAAACGGTGTTTTCTGACTGTTTACAAAGGTAGCGGACAAAGGTAGTGGAGATGAGATGATTAAAGCGGAATACTATTCGTAGGCCTTGATTCCGGCCAGCTGCCAGATAATTAGAAAGGACACTAAGATGATGTCGACAAATAACTATATTAATTAAAATCAAATTATGTTGATTATACATGATGATGTGTGTGTTTGCACAATATTCCCTTGGGATCATATGTATTTTGTTGCTCCCCTGAATATTAGGGCTATTAGTTTTCTCTTTCACGGTTCTGAGCAAACTTTCTCTTGACTTTATCCGTTGATGTTTTCAGTAGTAGGTGAATCATGTAGTATTTGGATTCGCAAAAAAGAAAAAATCATGTAGTATTTGGCATCATGCGATCTGATTCATCCTCTGGCAGCCCTCCATAACCTCTTTTCTTGGACAGTGTACTAACTGAAGCATGTTTCATATTAAACTTGTATACCTATTTGCAGAGGTAGATGTGTAAATTAGTAGTGGTAAATGTGCAAATTAGTTGTGTTCTTTCATTTCCATTGTGGGAGGTCTGACCATTAGCTATGATGTTCTCTGACAATATGCACATGTAACTCATTTTTTGCAGCATGCAACTCAATTTTTGTTGGTCAAGTTGGTGATCTAAAAATATGTGTGAGCCTCTATATCGAAACGGAAGAAGTATCATTTTGCTAGTCTCTGCTTTCTTTGTCTTACTGTCACCTAGTCACCTTCCTGGCATTTACCACTCTCAAGTTGATAGGCTGATATAGTGATGTATCAGGATCCATTACACCAGTCGAGCCACATGGTATTGAATAGTGCCTCCGTTCTATCAAGTCATTCATAGGCTGATATAGTTGATAGGCTGACAACACTAACCGAGTTGTCGGAACATAGTAAGTACTATCTTGCGTGTAGTTGCTCATTAAAGTCATTCATAGTTAAACTCAACTCGAAACGTACAAGTCTCTTGCTGATTATATGATTAATCCAGCGGATATATGTCTCCAAAATATGCAATGGGAGGCCTCTTTTCTGTTAATCTGATGTCTATAGCTTTGGGGTATTGCTATTGGAAACTGTAAGTGGTCTAAGGATAAGCTCAACCGAGAACATCAAGGAGTTCCCCAACCTTATAATATATGTAAGATTACGATTTATCATTGCCAATGTCTGCAATTCCTTTTGACCACATGAATTAATTTTTTTTATTCGATTTATTCAGGCATGGAGTCTATGGAAGGAAGGGTTAGCAATGGATTTGGTGGATCCTTCAGTTCCAGAGGGCTGCTCGAATGAAGAGGTTTTGTGTTGCATCCATGTCGGGCTCTTGTGTGTTCAGGATGATCCGGATGCCAGACCACTCATGTCAACCGTTGTATCAACCTTGGAGAGTAGAAGCACACCACTTGCAAGGCCTGATAAGCCACTGTATTTTTCTCACAGAAATAAGGTAGCAAAGAGAGCAGACTACGGTGAGGACTCTGGATATGGAAGACCTTACAGTAATAGAGGGGCGATAGGATCCCCCAAGCTTACATTGAGATGATTATGTAGCACTCTTTCAACGCCAAAGCTTCCAAAAGGTGTGATTTCACCCCCTAAGTTGAAAGATAGTATCTACCGCGGGAGGACAAGGTTATACATGGTCAAGTTTGATGCTGCCATCTTATTACAGTCTGAAAGTATTGTTGCTGGTGCTGTGGCCCGGCCGTGATCACCGTGATATGTTCCTGAACGCTCACCGTCCCTTCTTTGAGAAGGTTTGCGCTCCTGAACCCGCTGAAGCAATGGCTGCCTCTGATATATATGCTTTATCCTGTTACTCTTGTTGATGGTGTTCAAAGGATTATCTTAGCTTGTGATTGTTCTTCTCTGGTGGCCAAGCTGATTGCCTCTGAAGCTGACCGGTCGGCTACTGGTGTTGTTATCCATGACTACCAAGTTAGTATTAGGGTGGAAATTTGTTTCAGTTTCCTTCACTCGTGTTGGTCGAGTCTGTTTGGGTCGGCCCGTTGGAGTTGCTCTAAGGGTCTGCGCTTGGTCTGTTGAAGGCTCCGGATTTCAATTTTGTGGCACATATATTGATTTTTCAATTTTGTGGCATGGTACTCATGCCTTCCAGAAAGTCTTGTTTGTATCTGTATTTTCATCCGGGCTTCGACTCTGTAAAGTCTAGAGCATGACAATTTGTTGTATAAAATATCTGCATACAAGTATATCAAGAAGTCAACCTTATGTTGATGTTAACGGAGAAATGACTTGAGTTGACTTTTTTGAGGAGAAAATGACTTATGTTTAGACGACTTACAAACGGCAGAGCAGCACACTCTGGCAAAAGCCAGCAAAATCCAAGGGACCAAATTCAGTTTGAGCCGATCGCAACATCCAACGACATGGATTTTGAAATGTCCATGCAACTATACTGCCCATGGACATTGTCATTGGACATGACTATAACATGCGCTACTATTTGGTCTACAACATCTATATATCCTCCTTCGGGAAGATCATCTCTTAGCAAGTTAGTCAAAAAAGAGCTCGCTTTGCCCGAATACATTGAGTTAGTAAGGATGTGGAGAGGAATTTTGTAGTGCTCCAAGCCTGTTTTGAAGTTGTTCGAGAGCCTGTAAAAATATGGGATTTGGAAACTTATGGGTGGTGATGACATGTTGTGTGATCATGCATAACATGATTGTGAAGGATGAGTATTAAGGTGGCGCCGGAGGTCTGGAATTTGAGAAGATAGAAGATCATATCCAACTTCCAAATCAAAATCCAGGCACGTCGAGCAACTCATGAGCATCATAGTTAGATTGTAAGATTCGAATTTCGCAAAAAAAAAGATTAGAAGATTTGAAATGCTATTATTTTAAGTGCTATGAAATTAAAGAAAAACATGTGCAGAAGTTTGGAGATAGGATAGGGTTGAATATCCTGCTCCCGTATCCGGGGCCACGGACGAGTTTGGATCAGTGTCTGTTTTGCCTTAACAAAAAGATAAGATATTGTGAACACCGCTTATGGCGCACGCGGAACCATACCAACCCAACTGCTTTATTACAGCGCGCATTCATTTCCTTTCTTCTCTCAACACTGCCCATGGCCCACGCGCACCGACGGACGGACGGACATGCCGGGCGACGAGCACAAGAAACGCGACACGAAATCCTATGGGGACTCTCCCCGCGTTGCGCCGGCCGGCCGGCGACCGAGGCGAGGCGAGGCAGCCTACTGAGTACTACTGACCCCCCTACGGCCTCCGGGAGCGCGGCTTGAGGCTCTTCCTGACGCTGCGGCGGACGTGGCAGAGCACCCAGTAGTGGTCCTCCTCGCCGTCGTCGGCGCGGCGGTAGCACCGCGGGTCCGTGATCTCGTACTCGCTCATCACCCACCCGGTGCTCCGCCGCCCCTGCGCCCAGTCGCGGGCGTAGAAGCAGTAGCGCGTCATGGACCAGCGCGCCACCACGCCCAGCTCCGTCACGGACCGCCGGTCCTCCCTGTTGCTGCTGTGCATCCACGCGCCGCCGCCGCCCTCCAGGGTGCGCCGCGCCTGGGCGCGCTTCCCGCGCCGCCGCCGCGCCGCGAAGAAGTAGCCGTGCCCGCGCCGCAGCAGGCCGTGCCGCGCCAGCAGCTCCCAGGGGGTTGCCGCGCACGGGTCCGCCTCCACCACCGCGCCCGCCACGCGCGGCGCGAACCCGCGCAGCTGCGGCCGCAGGAAGTGCAGCACCAGCTCGTCCTCCGTCGGCTCGAACGACTCCTCAGCCTCCTCCTCCCCCGCCTTCCCCATCACCTCCACGCCGGCGCCGCCCAGATTTATCTCCTCCTCTATTTCCCCGATGAAGTCAAGGCTCGGCGACCACCAGACAAGAAGATGCGGCGAGGGACAGGGAGGGACGGCTAAGAAAAGGACATCCAGCATTACCTTACCCTATTCAGCCCAACACGGAGTAGCCCGCCCAAATGGGCTGCTCAATCGGGCCCAGCTGTAAAGCCACAGCACGGACGCCGGATCTTTTTTGTCCCAAAAAGGAAAACTAACGCCGGCCATATGTAAATGGAGATCACTAACTAAGGACGGAGAGATACGCATCAATTCTGTAATTGTGATAACAGGATCACCAATTAAGTAGTGCGATATGGTACACATGTCGATAATATCCGGCACATAGGGGGAATGAAATGTCAAGGCCTCCCAATGTGATGAAGTTCTTCTGCAACGCAGATCAGGGTGTAAGCACCACCAAAACAACCACATTGTTCCGAAATTTTGGTACAATTGATGATCTAGACCAAGGTGGTGTCTGAGTTAAGTAAGACTCATATCAATTGTAAGTGATGATTACGAAACTCCCTTGGGCATCCGTCGTGTTTCCCTTGCAAGCTTACATCGTCTGCAACAACCACTAGAGGAAAGAAATATCTGAGCTAGCGCGTTCAGTGGAGGAGACGTTCCTGTCGACTATGAGGCGCCCTTGAAGGCTTCGTTAATCTTAAGATAATATGTCGGCTCAGTCTGTCGAATGTGCTCATAGGGTTAGGGTGTGCATGTGTGTTTATATGGATGAATGTATGCGCGTATATATAAGCACATGCGTCTTTACCGTGTTAAAAAAACTAAAATAGAATGTTAAATTCCCGCAAAAGAGATGTATAATGGTAAGACAACGAACACACATAAGTGCTCCCATCACTAAATAAAAATATGAGCACTCACATGTCTTCCTTCCTGGAAGCATCTCTTGAGAGAACAGTCCGGGTGATGTCAATGGTGGAGGTTGATTTGGATGGTTGTTGGTGCTTGCAATAATATATTTACCCATCAGGTTTATCTAGTCGATCTTGGTCGAGAAAAATAAGCTACTATTGAAAATAAAAGAACAAAAGCGAAAATGGGTACTTAGGGCATCACCAAGGCGGACACGCAAATCACATCCGCCCGGACCGCGGGAGCCATCCAACGCGGGAAAGTATCGGTCCGCGAGGCGGTCCGGATGCGATTTCTTCTGCAAAACGGAGAGAAAAGTGGGTAAGCTTTGCGGGAGTCCGGACATGCGAAACATAGGAATCCGACATGCCAGGCCCACCCAAAACTCTTCCCGGACCCCGTGACTCCATCCTCCCCCATTTTCTCTCCTTTCTTCTTTCTCTCTTGCCTTCGCCGCTGCTCCACCACCCTGGCCACCACGCCAAACCCCTACCGCTAGGTGGAAACAGACTAAATGGTATAGTTACTGAATATCATCTAAAAGGCCTCAAAGATTTGAAGTTCTTGGGGTTGCACAACACATACCTTCAGATAAAGGTTAGTCAAAATTGGATTCCTCCATTCAAGCTACAAGCAATTTTCTTAGCATCTTTGCAGCTAGGACCGGCATTCCCGCCATGGCTTAGATCACAGACAAGTCTTCGGCTCCTACATATATCAAATGCAAGCATAACTGCAATCCCAGCTTGGTTTTGGGTTGCATTTTCAAGGACAAACTTCATAGATTTGTCAGATAATGAGATAACCGACACACTTCCAGCAACCTTGAAATTTATGACTACACAAAAAATGGTACTGTCCAATAATAGATTGATATGTATGGTGCAAAAGTTTCCAAGAAATGCTGAATACATGGACTTAGCAGGAAACTCTTTCTCCGGGACATTGCCATTAGATTTTGGAGCCCCTTTATTGGAGGAGCTTATTCTTTATAACTATTCAATATCAGGCACCATTCCATCTTCAATATGCAAATTGTCACAGTTGGTTGTGCTAGACCTATCAAAAAACAAGCTTACAGGAGAAGTTCCAACTTGTGAAGAGGATTCTAACTCGCAGATGAGTAGTCTTCATGTGGTAAATTTAAATACCAGCAACCTCTCAGGACAGTTCCCAAAAGTTCTTAGAAACTGCCAACACCTTGTTTTTATTGATCTATCTTATAACAAATTCTCTGGAGACATACCTACATGGATGGCTGTGAATTTTCCGTACTTGGCACTCCTACGTCCACGGTACAATATGTTTTCTAGGGAAATTCCCATGGAATTGGAATGCTTCAAGGGCTGCAGTTTTACATCTTGCACACAACAACTTCTCACGAAGCATGCCAGACTCATTAGTTAAGATGAGCGCAATGGCCCAAAGTTCTGGATACAGTTATGCTCTTTTATCAAGTGCTCATGAGTGGCCAAGCGCTCCAGATATATAACTCAATATATGATGATGTTCATTCCATGGACAAAGTATCAGTTCTTACTAAAGGGAAACAACTAGAATTTTCTCTGCAAATCTCGTACATGGTGATTCTTGATTTATCAACCGGAGTGATCCCTGGAGATATTGGTTGTCTCATTGGTTTAAGAGGTCTGAACTTTTCATGGAACAAGTTAACTGGAGAAATCCCTGAGAAAATTAGTGAGCTCAAGCAATTGGAATCACTTGACTTTTCAAACAATGAGCTTTCCGGTGGAATCCCTTCAAGCATGGAAACCATGACCTCTTTAAGACATATGAACCTATCGTACAACGCTCTATCCGGAAAGATACCATTATAGGAAATCAGCTCGGAACTTTCGACGCATCTTCTTACATTGGAAACATTGGTCTATGTGGTTTCCCCTTGACTCCCAATTGTCTTGCAAACAGGTCAGGTCAGCCAAGATACAAAGATGATGGCGATGGATTGGAGGACATATCCCTTTACCTTGGTTTAATAGTTGGTTTTGCCTTTGGCTTCTGGGTGGTCTTTTGTGTGATGATGTTCAAAAAGAGATGGAGAATTTCTTATTTCATGTTTGTTGAAGGGCTGCAAGACAAGATTTATGTGGTCGTGGTACTAAAATGGGTAATTTGAAGAGAAAATTAGTCAAAACCTAAATATTGGTATAGGTTATGAATGACAATTACCATCTACTATGTCTTTTTTACATTACCTTTTTAGTGTAATTGGTTGCTTATATTGGACTGTTCTGAAAGAAGGTGTGTGTGATAGAGTTTGTATAGTGTGACATATGTGTCCAATCTTATTATGAACTTTTTGCTATTTACAAGTTCAGACTAGATTCTTGTTTATATTTTTTTTATTTTTTATTTTTTTAGATTCTTGTTTATATAAGAGAAAAGTATATATTCTGTCCCTCAACTATCCGAGAAGTATGTGTTTAGTCCTCCAATTGCAAAACCATACAAACTACACCCAGAAATGTTGAAACGGCATAACTTTTTTCCCTCCTTTAGCTCAAAAGGGGTATGTGCGTTGAGTTGGTATTGTTATGTTATGATCCAAATTCAAGTATAAAGATAAAGGCTAACTTCTCATGAGCGGAGCGAAGCTCTGAACCATCGCGAGAAGACTTGGACCGGTACGGATTAGTACTGACATATGTCACCTCCGCACATGATAAGTTGATCAGTTGCAAATCCCCGACATTTGTAACCTCCCCCGATATAGTGAAGATTCGCTGGCTGGCCCCCGTGGTTTACCCCTACAAGTAGAAGGAGGTTTCCATGTTAAAATCTCATGTCTCTCATGTGTTGATTTCATTCTTCATCATTTGATTTGCCTGTCGTATTTCTAACAAGTGATATCAGAGCCTTGTTTCTGTCTAAGATTTCGACGACATGACATCAATGAAGTTTGATCTTCCTATGCTGGATTACGACACAAGGTATTCCCTATAGCAAGTGAAGATGCGGGTAGTGCTGGCACATCCCGATATGGATGAGGCACTCGTTGGGTTCGGTGGCAAAGGACATAAGGCATGGACCGATAATGAGAAGCGCAAAGATCGTAAGGCTATGTCTATGCACTACTGAGGAAAATGTTTATATGTGACCTCAAATTAGTGGCGGGCACCCGCCACTTCTATTTTGGAAAATCAGCAGTGGCGGGTAACAAATTCCACCCGCCACTGGAGTTACCATAGTAGTGGCGGACGAAAATAACCACCTGCCACAAGTGAACTCTCCCAAATTTGCCCATGCTGAAAGTGAGTAGTGTCGGGCCCTTGGTAACACCCGCCACTGCCATGGTAGCTATCAGTGGCGGGCAATATGCATGCCCATCACAGATAAATCGTGGTGACTGCGCAAAATATAAATCATAGGCAATAAACTAGACTAGTCCCATATTTGAAGCGGGTTTGAAAATTCCTAAGGAAACCATATTTAGTACAACGACATAGTAGTGGCGGTCGTTATCAGCCGCCCGACGCTGCTAGTTGATGTGGCCGGCATTTGCGAGGGCCTGCCGCTATTATTCCCGACCGTGGCAACGGTTCACCCCCCCCCCCTCAAAACCACATCTTGAGACTCAAACTTACCTCCACTCTTCTGAATCTGTCCGGCTCCCCTCGCCGCGGCTGCCCTCATCCCCCCTCGCTGCCCCCGTCATCGAACGCCGCAGCAGTCCTCCTCCACGGCCGTCCTCGTCGGTGGGGCCCTCGTTCGTCGCGACCCCCTCGCTGCAGCCGTCCTCGTCGGCGGTATAGGTAAGTATGCTTATATTTGATTCACATATGCCAGACCACTCATATCAGGTGTAGTATCAACCTTGGAGAGTAAAAGCACACCACCTGCAACGTCCGATAAGCCACTGTAGTTTTCCTCAGAGAAATAAGGTGGAAAAGGGAGTAGACAACGGTCAGAACTCTGTGGATACGAAGGCCCTTACAATAATAGAGGGGCGATAGGGTCTCCCAAGCTTACATTGAGACGGTTATGCAGCTCTCTTTCAAAGCCAAAGCTTCCAAAAGGTGCGATTTCACCACCTAAGTTCAAAGATACTCCCTCCGTTCCAAAATAGATGACCCAACTTTGTACTAACTTTAGTACAAAGTTAGTACAAAGTTGGGTCATCTATTTTGGAACGGAGGGAGTAGAATCCACCGCGGGAGGACAAGGTTCTATATGGTCGACTTTGATGCTACCATCTTCTTAATTATTACAGTCTGAGTGTATTGTTGCTGGTGCTGTGGCCCATGATCACCGTGATATGTTCCTGAACGCTCACCATCGCTTCTTTGCGAAGGTTTGCGATCCTCAACCGTGTGAGCAATGGGTTTTGAACCGGGCATAGCCCGTTCCATTACTGCAACATAACGGAAATACAATAGTCTAGAAAAGAAGAAGGAAAGGGGATAGCGAGTTCAAGCATCACTGAGAAACCCACTGTGAGCACTCACCATCGAGATTACCTACTGTGGGACGAAAACCTGACGACACCATATATCATCCTAAATCTTTACCTAATAATAAAGCAAATTGGGTTTCTGGTCGTCCGTCATTGCCGTTTTTGAAAAAAAAACCTATTGTTTGTTGAATTCAACCCGCAGTCCTTTATCAAGTGAGTTCCTCAAAAAACGTTTCATTTTTGCAAAAGAGCCCCTGCATTAGTTGGACTTCAGCCCGCAGTCTGCAGTCAGTCCTTATATTCCTTATCCATTCCCAGACTCCACTGACGGCCACTCGCCGCCGCTTGGCGCCGGCGTCCACGACGCCGCTCCGACGACCCCTCGCCACCCGCCGTCGCCGGAAGCCACCAGCAGGCCGCTGTCCCGTTTCCTCTCACCCTCCCGCTCACGCCTGCGTCCCGCCATTGTCAGCGAGGACCACCTCCAGCCTCCCCTTCCTCTGCTCCTCCTCCTCACCTCGCGCTCGAGCGCCGCTCCTGCAGCACCTCCGCTGCCCGCCTCTGTTTGCCGGTGCCCATCGTATGTACCTCCATCCCGCCGCCACCTCCTGCCCCGCGTCGCCCGCCCCACACCGCATCGACCAGGACCGCGTCCCTCCCCAAACGGCGGCGATGATGGAGGGCGCCGCCCAGCTCCTGACTGACGGATTCGCCGGCTCCCCGCTCCTCGGGGAAGAGAGGAAGAAAGGCGAAGGAGAAGGGGCACAAGGTGAGGGAGGCGGTCGCCGGCGGTGGCGGCTTCGGTGAGCCACTGGCAGGCAGAGAGACGAGCTCCTGTTGAGGCGGCCGGGCTCGGTGTGGGCTGGTTCATCCGGATCGAGCCCTTCCTGCCCGGGCGTCTCCATCGCCATGGACGGCCTGCACAGCGCCGACGCCTGCTTCTCTCTTGGGAGGGCCATGTCGCCTCAGGTCCGGCCCCCCATCGGCCCGCCGGACGTAGGCAGGTAAGGACAGACGGCAGCTGAGATTGGGCCTCACCTTCTTCTTCTCTGGTTAAGAAAGAATTGGTTCTTTGGTGCGTTTTGCTGGGTGGGCGGCCTCGCTGAATTTGTTGCCTCTGTTTTTTTCATTTGTCATCGAATGTCCACCGACGGAGACCAGCACCCTCTGGATCGCCAAGCTCTGTTCAGACCAAAAGATAAGCGCGGGTAAGTACAACCCTAATCTACAAGTGTATATCATCGATCAGTATATATTTGTCATTGCCAAGTAAGTAGATATACTGCTGCAGATTGCCCAATGAATAAAGCAATATCTTGAAGGTTTTTGCCGCTGCCGGTTGTTGGATTCATCAAACCTGCCTTTTAGATTTGGCAATGGGTTTGGGATTATTGATGGCCTAGCCACTAAACAGTGAACGAAGGAGTCAGAGGTAGCTTGAAGCGCAAATGCTTCACCGGCTCTGATAAAACTCATGTCTGCACATGGAGCAGTACAAGCTAGCTACGACGGGCTGCGGACGCATGTACGCGAATGCTCAAGGAGCGCTGACCTCGACGTCGAAAACTCGGGGCTCAGACGACCACGCCGATCCGAAGCCCCGGCGGCAGATCCACGCGGCCCCTTCAAGCAGCCGCCGGCCACCGCTGCCGCGCCTCCGCCACAGCCCCAGCCTGCCGCCGCGCGCAGCCCTGGCCACCTGGAGCCCATACGCAGCCGCCCCGCAACTGGCCGACGAAAGCTTGGAGGATTGTAGAGAGGAGGGAAGAGAAAGGGAACGCGGCGCTGTGGACTGGAGCACGGTCGCGTGGGGGTGTGTGGCTGGAGCAGGAAGAAGAGGCGACGTGGATAAGGCACGCAGTGGGAGATAGCTCTCCGTGTGGATTGCTTTTTTAGTTGGCTGCATCGACCAGAAGCTACTACTAGATGTTGCTATACGTGCCAGCACCGATTGCATTTTATTTTTCTTCTAAATGAGCACCAATATAATAATTGGTTGCTGTTGTTCGTTGTCACTGTTATAGTTTAATTTTCATGCCTACCACATCTTATGAATACATCATGTGATATACAATAATTAAAAATGAGTAAAATATTTGAATAAATAGTTCTTACGGAAGAAGATATTTAGAGCTCACCGGGACTTGACAATTAAGATATTCCCTGACTCTGGATGTTACCGACATCGTTGGTGAGATAAGGAGGAGAGAGAGGGTTGGATGAAGAGTGACCACGATGCATCTTGTAGTTTACCTTTTTTCTAGACAATCCAATTGAAATTTACCTGTGATGGGGAACACAGAAAAGGTTGCTTTTTTATGGTGATGTTGCCAAGTTCAAATAATGCAAAAGAAAAGGAACAAAATATAATCTTGCAAATCAAATAACCAACATTACCTCTTTGCTTTAGAATATTAACAAAAAATGTATATAAACAATCACAATTTAATGCACCATTACTCTTTCGTCCAACAAAATCTTTTGAAAATTCTAAAAAAAACTTTTGAATTAGTTATTAAACCCTCAAATAGTATACAACAATTCCATCGTCTGTATATCCGGCTAGAAACAAATACAACATTCCTCTTCCAGCCGATGACAGTGCTAAGCTGAAGGAGGCGCCATCCAAGGACATCCCTACGACTTTCTCAACTTTATACTACATAGTATGGGCATCGAGTGTGTTTTTTTTAAATCGCGTACCTTTTCTTGTTTTCAAAAAAATCATGCTTTTAAATATATATACGTTTAAAAAAAGATCTCAGAATCCCCAAAAATGTTTTAATTAAAAATATATTTAAAAATTCTCGTTCAGAAAAACATGTGTAAAAAATGTTCATTTTCAAAACATATTTCAGTTCTACTAAAAAGATTAAAAATTCAAATTGTTTAATTATTTTAAAATAATAAAATATTTGTGTTTTACGATATTTTTCTCCCGTTGCAACGCACGGACCCTTTTTGCTAGTCCAGGCCTAACAGCCCCTGCAACAACCAAACCGCTCACACATGAGCATCAAAAGGTTGCCTCTGATATACTATATGCTTTATCCGGTTACTCTTGTTGATGGTATTCAGAGGATTGTCTTTCCTTGTGGTTGTCTTTGCTGAATGCCTCTGAAGGTGACCGGTCGGCTACTGGTGGTTTTATCCATCATGACTTTATTCGTGTTAGTCGAGTCTATAATATCGTGTGATCTGCGGAGCATGTTGTGCAGGTGCTTGGTCTGTTGAAGGCTCCGGATTTCGAATTTGTGGCATGGTACTCATGCCTTCCTGAGAGTCTTGTTTGTATCTGTGTTTTCATCTGGGTTTCCACTCTGTAATGTCTGGAGCATAGCAATTTGTTGTATAAAATATCTGCGTAAATATATATCAACAAGTCAACCTTATGTTGATGTTGAGGGAGGTTCACCCCCCTCAAAACCACATCTGGAAACTCAAACTTACCTCCACTCTTCCGAATCCGTCCGGCTCCCCTCGCCGCGGCTGCCCTCATCCCCCCTTGCTGCCCCCGTCATCGAACGCCGCAGCGGTCCTCCTCCGCGGCCGTCCTCGCCAGCCGGACCCTCGTCCGTCGCGACCCCCTCGCCGCGGCCGTCCCCGTCGGCGGTATAGGTAAGTATGCTTATATTTGATTCACATATGCTAGTCCACTCATGTCAGGTGTAGTATCAACCTTGGAGAGTAAAAGCACACCACCTGCAACGCCTGATAAGCCACTATATTTTTCCTCAGAGAAATAGGGTGGAAAAGAGAGCAGACTACGATCAGGACTCTGTGGATATGAAGGCCCTTACAGTAATATAGGGGTGATAGGGTCTCCCAAGCTTACATTGAGACGATTATGCAGCACTCTTTCAAAGCCAAAGCTTCCAAAAGGTGTGATTTCACTACCTAAGTTCAAAGATAGAATTCACCGCGACGTACAATGCTCTAAAAATCGTGCAAACTGATCTAACGACAGATGAGGCGTTCGGGCAGGATGCTACGCACCACACGTGTGGGCGTTAGTATTTCCCTATGTTTATATCAAGAAGTCAACCTTATGTTGATGTTGACGGGAAAATAACTTGAGTTTGACATTCTTGAGGAAAAAAATTTGACATATTTTTAGACTTGCAAACGGCAGAGCAGTACACTCTGGCAAAAGCCAGCAAAATCCAAGGGACCAAATTCTGCTTAAATACAGACAGTGTGCCGCGCACCGACAGACGGACATGGCAGATCAGATCACACACATGGCGACTTAGCGACGAACGACGAGGACGAACTGACACGGGCTTGCGCCGGCCGGCGACCGAGCCGAGGCGCGGCAGCCTGCTGAGTAATACTGACCCGCTACCGCCTGCGGGAGCGCGGCTTGACGTTCTCCCTGATGCTGCGGCGGACGTGGCAGAGCACCCAGTACTGGTCCTCCTCGCCGTCGTCGGCGCGGCGGTAGCACCGCGGGTCCGTGATCTCGTACTCGGACATCACCCACCCGGTGCTCCGCCGCCCCTGCTGCGCCCCGTCGCCGCCGCGGAGGTAGAAGCAGTACCGCGTCATGGTCCAGCGCGCCACCACGCCCAGCTCCGTCACGGACCGGCGGTCCTCCTTGTTGCCGCTGTGCATCCACGCGCCGCCGCCGCCCTCCGGGGTGCGCCGCACCTTCCCGCGCCGCCGCGCCGCGAAGAAGTAGCCGTGCCCGCGCCGCAGCAGGCCGTGCCGCGCCAGCAGCTCCCAGGGGGGCGACGCGCACGGGTCCGCCTCCACCACCGCGCCCGCCACGCGCGGCGCGAACCCGCGCAGCTGCGGCCGCAGGAAGTGCAGCACCAGCTCGTCCTCCGTCGGCTCGAACTCGATCTCCTCCTCCTCCCCCACCTCCTGCTTCACCTCCCCTCCGCCGGCGCCGGCCAGATTTATCTCCTCCTCCTCCATTTCCCCGATGAAGTCTCCCCTTCCTCCTTCCTCCTTCCTCCGATGAAGTAAGGCTCAGCAACCACCAGACAAGAAGATGCGGCTGCGTTTCTTTCCAACCACCGCACCGCTGGTCCAACCACCGCACCAGCACCGTTTATTACTACGTTTCCCTACTCGACCCAACACGGAGTGGCCCACCACTAACGCCGGATCTGGCAAAGCTCCAAAATAAATAAATAAATTGAAAGCCTCTAAATTTGGCGCAAATCTCCTTTTTTTTTCTGGGATCAATGTACGCCGTGTAGATGGAGATCACTAGTAAGCAAGGATGAAGAGATACGTATCGAGAAATAAGGGAGACGGTCACTCCCGGACGCTCTCAGCGATTTGGCATTCCTGGCCGTTGGATCGTTTTGCTTGATGCAATCTTGGCCGTTCGATGCCCCTAGGAAAGACCTTGGCCGTCGGATTGAACAGGAGCTCCTGTAGCAATGGACATATTCACCCCACTGTGAAGATCTCGTGCCACCGCCGTTATTCCCGTGCCCCGTATAGGGCATTTTCGTAATTTCACTTTGTTGGAAAAGTGCCCAACTAGGGTTGAGACCGTGCTGGTCGTTCCCCTCCCCCTCGAGCCCGCCTCCTCTCTTCCCCTCCTCTCCTCCCCGCGCTCTTCCCCTCTTCTCCTCTCCTCCCCGCCGCCTCCCGCCTCCTCTCCTCCCCAGCGCCTCCCGCCTCTTGAAGAAGAAGCAACCCCCTCCCGCGCCCAGAAGCCCAAGCCCGCCACCAAGCGGCAGTTCCAGGCGTTGCAGGGCGGCAGGGGGCTCAGCCTCAACCCGCTAACCCTAGCTGCACCCCACACCGCCGCCAGCTCCTTCTCCCGGCCTGCCGGTCCCCGCTACCCGCGTCCACAGCGTCGTCGTCGTCGTCATCGCGTGCACACGGCAAGAGGAGCACGGGAGATGTGGCTGCGCCGCCGCCTCTGCCTCTGCTCGCCCTCGCGTTGTCGTGCCGTTTCCTCCTCCACGCCCCCTTGGTGCTCATCAGGAAGAGCGCGGCTCGCAGTCGGCCCTCGCGAGGGAGTGCCGGACGCGCGCATGAGGGAGTGGTGGACGCGCGCAGGAGGGAGCGGTGGAGCATGGTGGCTCCGGTCGAGGTGAGCTGCCTTTCCTCGTGGCGCGTTGGTTTTCCATGCTTTTCTTCGTTGATCTGTGATCTTGTTTGCGTGCAGGTCTGCTGTTGTGGTCGTCGATGTGGTCGTCATTCACTCTGCCAATCATTCACTCTGCCAATCTGCTATTGTGGTCGTCGATGTGCTATTGTGGCCATTGATTTGCAGGTATATATGTATGTATGTCCTCTTCTTGGCTACTAGCTTCTCCTCACCTCTGATTTTCCCCTTGTTTTCCTTGCAGATTCATCTGCTATTGCCGGTGCCTCCTTTGATCTGACCCGGTGCCATCGTCGCGGAGCTGGACAAGATCATGGTGTCCCCAAACTTTTTAGGCTGCTGCTCCTATGTCCATGGCGTCCCGGAGAAGCAAGGTGTGTTTCTGCTACTCCCTACACTGCTTGATATTACTATTCCTCCATTCATAGCAAGAGATGTGCTGCTGCTACTTCTGTTGTTATGTCTTGCTTTAATTGCTAGCTTCAGTGTATCTTTGCTTGAGAAATGATCATGGTGTTATGGCAAGTGGTGATCTGATGTCGTTGGTTTCGGTTTATCTTTGCTTGAGAAATGATCAATTTGGGTCTGAAGATGATCAATTTGGGTCTGAAGGATAGTTGTACTATTAGTGATAGACATGGAATGGGGATCTCTTGGTATCAAACACAAAAAGGTCATGCCTGAAAATCATGTACATAGCTGGTAGGTATATCTAAAAAGTAGATATACTCAGGAAGAAATGCCGTTTTGATTGGTGGGGGTAGAGTTGAAAGGATTTTGTGCATCGAAGAATTTTCCAAGATCTCAGATAATGACACATGTGGAAGTGAAAGCTACCCTTTCTTTATAGTTGCAAAAGTTTATTTTACAGTATGCCTGGACTGCTGTAATCACCAATGACAGAGGGATATGCATTATTTTGAGCATATATAACTAAAACTTTAGTTGTCTTTTTTGCTGTTATAGGCTTTTATGTAAAAAAATGTATAGTTTTCTTGGTTATCCCTAAGTGGTCTTAGTTACCTCTCTCTAATGTTTAAGACACAATATCTAGGTCAATGCTTACCATTTATTATATATTTAGACTTTGAGCACATGTGCAACATTGAATGTTCATGATATCAGGTTTTTGTGATTATACTAGCTTGACGAGTTGTTGATATAAGTGTAAAATTATCGCTGATCATTATGCCAGTATTACCAATGTTGTTTTCTAATTTATTGTTAGTTGGTCATCCTTTCTAAGAGAATCTATGTGTTGCAGGCAATGATCTAAAGTTTCTGCAACTGATCATAGTTCTGGCAAGACATTTAGGAACTCGGAGTTCAAAGTGGGGGACTATTGACAGGTTGTTGATGAGAAGATCTGCAAGTATTATCACTTCGACAGTATACTTTTGTGCCCAAAGTTGCCACTTGATGCTATAATTCTTCCATTTTAATAATTGTGCACTTGGGGTGTCATCTTAATAACCTGTAAGGTGAACTAAGTAAAAAATGGCCATGAAGTAGTGCCACGTTAAAATAACTCTGTTAGACTGGAAATGCTTTTCGTGGCATTTGTGACATTAAGAAAACTAGAAGACCCTGATAGGCCACCGCAAGAAAATCCTTGGTTCATCCAACAAGTGCAATTTCTCCATGTTCATTTGTTTAGGCATGGACATAAAAGATCAAAGCTCCGTTCGCTGAAAATAGAGGCAGAGTAGCAGCTATAGCACGTGCACCCCTAGAGAGATAACACTGATTCTTGTCGTCCTGCTGCTTGTGTACAATCTTTGTTAGAGGTTGCTTGATCTGATGGCGGACGGAACATGGTTGGGTTGGGGCTGTGTGATTTAGCATCTTCTTGGTGGCATTTAATTCCGCAACAATAATCAATAAACACACGCAGCATGATTTTGTTTTTTTCCTCTGGACCTTTTTATTTATGTGACAAAACTTCCTTTAGCAATACACTAATTCAGAATATTCATATATTATTTTCTTAGTCATTTCCAATTTTGCACAAATGTGATTATCAATTTTTCTATTTCTATCAGGACTCATCTATGAAGCCTGAGAAAGCGATGCTTCATTTACAAGAGCCGCTCTCCCCAACAACACTGTTGTGATGAAATGGAGTCTCCTGTTACACATGTTCAGTACTTGCACCTCAACGTCACTTCTGTGAGTTGTGGCCTAGGTTAGGTCGATCCTTAATATCTGTTCCAATTTATTCTGGTATCATTAGTCTCAGGATCATTTTAAATATTGATTTATGTGCTGCTTTTGTATTTTTTGGGGCTGGAGATTGCAGGTGGCCTGATAAAGAGCCCTGGTGGTATCATCGCGCCTTGTGGTGGCTATGTTGCTGGGAAGAAAGATTTGGTTGCTGCAGCTACAGCTCGCCTATCGGCACCGGGCCTTGGGGTGGAGTTTGGGTCGGCGCCTTGCCATGTTATGCGAGCAATGTTTCAGTGCTTGTTTCTTGCTCCGCAGATGGTTGGAGAGGCAGTAAAAGTAGGTTGTTTATCAGTTCTTTGCCTCTTTGAGCAAACTATGCATGCGATTTCAAGTGATAGGCTTATACTATCCACAGGGTGGTTTGCTGATTGCAGAGGTCATGTCAGCCAAGGGTTATAGGGTTCAACGACTTCCAAGGGCACCGCTCCATGATATTGTGCAGGTTAATTTAAGTTCATCATTAATTTGCCTGAAAAAGTATTTAGCATTAATTTACTAGGAACATGAGTGTCCATAGGAATAAGATGTGACAGTCTGAAAACGTTTTAGCATTAATTTACTAGGAACATGAGTGTTCGTAGGAATCTGAGCCCACTATGCAGTGAACCCAGAACATTTTTATTTGTATCTAAAGTTGTTACATATTTTGTGATACTGTCTTGGCGCAAGGGTGCCGGTCCCAACATTTTACTATCCAGGATTTAGCTTGTACTGTTGTTTCTGAAAGACAGTAACACAAAAAGGTCTTATCCAACTCCATGATTTTACTGTATGAAACAACCTGTATAATTTTCAGTTTGTAGAGCTCTGTGGTGCCCTGTTTTTCTGTTGTTCTATTTTTCTATTGCTGGTCAGATCCATGTTGTCCTGAATTGTGAAGTACAACTACAAGTCCAAACCTGGACATTTTCATAAACCTCACATTTTTAGAACCTGAACATTCTCAGTTAGTGGCTCAAAACTGCTCCACTAGAGTAGACATTTAACTTAATCAATTCACCATCTATTCAAATACTCCTATTAATTCCATCTGAGGAGTAGACATTTAACATAAGGTAGCCCCATTTTAATTTAGTCTATTTTTGTTGTAATAGCCCATTAAAGTGACTTTTTGTTCATGAGCGGATCCTTTTCTTAATGTGTTTGATTCGAGGCGCCTCCTCTCGGGCTCTCTCGGAGGTGCACTGTAGCGACAGCGTGTGCGTGGTGGTCAAGCACGATAGCGCTGATGGGTGCCGTCTCCGTCGACTGGAGAAGCGCAGGTCGCGGCTCACTCCGCTGCTCTACTGGGGTCATCAGCCTTTGTACTCGCATTGCGCGTGCACTCAGGTACTACAACCCAGGTTCATATCTCACAGATGTCCATGCACACAGTTCTGACCCCCTTTTTTGCTGCTCCATATAGTGAAGCAACAGAGTCGTGGATGCAGTGTGAGCGTTGGGTGCTGTGTCCATCGACTGAGCGGTAAGCCAGAGCTGCAAGTCGTTGAACATGGGGTGCTATTGTGATGATCTCATGCCTCACGCTCTATGTGTGTATCTCTCTGTCCTGTTCCGTTTTTGCTATTCATTCATGCCTATTAGAATTATTAAGTTTTTTCTTGGTTTTGTAGTTGTGGGTTGCTGTTAAGAATGATTACCCTTTTTTTGTCAGAAAAGAACAATTACCCTGATTAGTTAGGATTTAAATGCCACAAGTGGATTTCTGTTAAGAATCATTGGATGGACTATTTAAGTTTCACTCAAAAGTGTTTACCGTTTATGAATTGAAATCTCTTTTCGGACAATATATAAACTTTTGTGCATCTTAATGCTGATATTAGTAGTCCATTTCCTTTCTGAATATGAGCTTTGCTATGGATCTTGGGAGCAGGTCATCCTTGGTTTGCTTCCAGACCAACATGTTTACCATCAGGCGACCACCTTGGATTGGCGCTGTTGTTGCACGTGTGAGGGAGTCCTGGATTAGGGGGTGTCCGGATAGCCGGACTACCATCATCGGCCGAACTATCATCGGCCGGACTATCATCATCGACCGGACTCCAAGACTATGAAGATACAAGATTGAAGACTTCGTCCCGTGTCCGGATGGGACTTTCCTTGGTGTGGAAGGCAAGCTTGGTGATACGGATACGTAGATCTCCTACCATTGTAACCGACTCTATGTAACCCTAGCCCTCTCCGGTGTCTATATAAACCGGATGGCTCTAGTCCGTAGGACACAACAACAACCATTACAATCATACCATAGGCTAGCTTCTAGGGTTTAGCCTCCTTGATCTCGTGGTAGATCCACTCTTGTAAACATGCACAATATCAATATCAATCAAGCAGGACGTAGAGTTTTACCTCCATCAAGAGGGCCCGAACCTGGGTAAAACATCGTGTCCCTTGTCTCCTGTTACCATCCGCCTAGACGCACAGTTCGGGACCCCCTACCCGAGATCCGCCGGTTTTGACACCGACATTGGTGCTTTCATTGAGAGTTCCTCTGTGTCGTCACCGATAGGCTTGATGGCCTCTTCAATCGACAACGACGCAGTCCTGGGTGAGACTTTTCTCCCCGGACAGATCTTCGTATTCGACGGCTTCGCACTGCGGGCCAACTCACTTGGCCATCTGGAGTAGATCGAAAGCTACGCCCCTGGCCGTCAGGTCAGGTTTGGAAGCCTAAACTTCACGACCAATATCCGCGGGGACTTGATCTTCGATGGATCTGAGCCACAGCCGAGTGTGCCGCGCTGTCATGATAGGCAAGACCTAACTCTGCCGCCGGACAGCACCTTGGAGGCCGCACACGAATCCGCTCCGACCCATAGTCCGGAGCCGATCGCTCAGATCGAGGACGGATGGCTGGACACCGCCTCGGGAGCTGCAACTTCTACGGCGATGGAGCCGAACACTTACCTTGTCCCGCATAAAGCTCATGACTCCGAGGTGCCGGACTCTCTGCCGGACTCCGAACCTCCTGCGCCCCTGCCAGTCGAATCCGATTGGGCGCCGATCATGGAATTCACCGCTGCGGACATCTTTCAGCACTCACCCTTCGGCGATATCTTAAATTCGCTGAAACATCTCTCGCTATCCAGAGAGCCCTGGCCGAACTACGGCCAGGATGGTTGGGACACGGACGACGAAGAAATTCAGAGCCCACCCATCACCCACTTCGTAGCCACCATCGACGATCTAACCGACGTACTCGACTACAACTCCGAAGACATCGACGGTATGGACGACGATGCTGGAGACTATCAAGAACCAGTGCCTACAGGACACTGGAAGACCACCTCGTCATACGACATATACATGGTGGACACCCCAAAAGATGGGGATGGCGAAGAAGCAATGGAGGCCGATTCCTTAAAGAAACAGCCCAAGCGCCGACGTCAGCGGCGCCGCTCTAAATCCCACCACAGCAAGAATGGAGATTCCGGCACAGGAGATAATAACACCCCAGAAAGTGCCGAAGACAACCCCCTCCAGCACGATCCAGCGCAGGAGGAGGCAGAAGCAAGCCCTCACGAGAGGGCGGCAGATGAAGAGGTCGAGGATGATAATTACTTACCTCCCTCCGGAGACGAGGCAAGCCTCGACGACGACGAATTCGTCGTGCCTGAGGATCCCATCGAACAAGAGCGTTTCAGACGCAAGCTAATGGCCACGGCAAACAGCCTAAAGAAAAAGCAGCAACAGCTTCAAGCTGATCAAGACCTACTGGCCGACAGATGGACCGAGGTCCTCGCGGCCGAAGAGTATGAACTCGAAGGCCCCTCCAAAAGTTACCCAAAACGCAAGTTGCTCCCCCAACTAGAGGAGGAAGCGTACAAACCTGCATCACCAGCGCACAATACGGCAGACCGACCACCTCGTGGCCGCGACAGAGAGGCATGCGAGCCCTCCACCAAAACTGTACCACGGCATCGCTCAAAAAGCATGAAGCCACGGGGGAACGGGCCGGACTTGCGGGATATATTGGAGGACAAGGCAAGACAATCCAGATCTATCTATGGATCACGTGGGCGCCCCAAGACCCACGACGAATACCGTCGCGCCGGATACAACTACTCCGGCCGGGCCGAACACAGCAGACAACGCTCTCTCGAGCTACGTCGCGATATTGCTCAATACAGAGGCGCCGCACACCCACTATGCTTCACTGACGAAGTAATGGATCATCAAATCCCTGAAGGGTTTAAACCCGTTAATATCGAATCCTACGATGGCACAACAGACCCCGCGGTTTGGATTGAGGATTATCTCCTCCATATACATATGGCCCGCGGCGACGATCTTCACGCCATCAAATATCTCCTGCTCAATCTTAAAGGACCAGCTCGGCATTGGCTTAACAGCCTGCCCGCAGAGTCAATTGGATGCTGGGAAGACCTAGAAGCCGCATTCCTCGACAACTTCCAGGGCACGTATGTGCGGCCACCGGACGCAGATGGCCTAAGCCACATAATCTAGCAGCCAGACGAATCGGCCAGGCAATTCTGGACACGGTTCTTAACAAAGAAAAATCAAATCGTCGACTGTCCGGATGCAGAGGCCCTCGCGGCCTTCAAACATAACATCCGCGATGAGTGGCTGGCCCGGCACCTAGGACAGGAAAAGCCGAAATCCATGGCAGCCCTCACATCACTCATGACCCGCTTCTGTGCGGGAGAGGATAACTGGCTAGCTCGCAGCAACAACGTCAGCAAAAACGCTGGCAGTTCGGATACCAAGGACCGCAATGGCAGGTTGCGTCGAAACAAAAACAAACGCCGCATTAACGGCGACAGCAATGAGGATACGGCAGTCAACGCCGGATTCCGAGGCTCCAAGCCCGGTCAACGGAAGAAGCCATTCAAAAGAACCACTCCGGGCCCGTCCAATTTGGACCGAATACTCGACCGCTCCTATCAAATACATGGAACCCCTGAAAAGCCAGCTAACCACACCAACAGATATTGTTGGGTATTCAAGCAGGCAGGCAAATTAATCGCCGAAAACAATGACAAGGGGCTACACAGCGATGACGAGGAAGAGACCCGGCCGCCGAACAACAGAGGACAAAAGGGATTCCCACCTCAAGTTCGGACGGTAAACATGATATACGCAACGCATATACCCAAGAGGGAGCGGAAGCGTGCACTAAGGGACGTATACGCGATGGAGCCAGTCGCCCCAAAATTCAACCCATGGTCCTCTTGCCCGATCACTTTCGATCGAAGAGACCATCCGACCAGTATCCGCCATGGAGGATTCGCCGCATTGGTTTTAGACCCAATCGTCGATGGATTTCACCTCACGAGAGTCCTGATGGACGGCGACAGTAGCCTGAACCTGCTTTATCAGGATACAGTGCGCAAGATGGGCATAGACCCTTCAAGGATTAAACCTACAAAGACAACCTTCAAAGGCGTCATACCAGGTGTCGAGGCCAGTTGTACAGGCTCAGTCACACTGGAAGTGGTCTTCGGATCCCCGGATAATTTCCGAAGCGAGGAGTTAATC